GCGACTACAAGGGAACGGTCGGCGCTGGAGCACTCTGTATTTCTGTCAAGCGGACATAGGCCAACTCCATGGTAACGCGATTGATTTCAATTTCAAGGTTCTTGGTTACCGAAGTAGGCAACGGAACGGAGTATTCTAAAGGTAATTCTTCTTTATTTGCTCTAATAAATGCGGGGAAGAAGCCACACCAACTTCTCTTAAATATTTCTTACGTCTCTTCGATCAACAGCTGAAGAATGCCAGACATCTTAGGCTGACCTCAGCATGAACATTTGAAATGGTTGGAAGCCTACAGCGTAACAGAGGGCATGAATAATAGACTACTTAAATTTTAAAACTCTCCTGTGCTTAAGCATTGTTTTAGGACATTAAGGACACGTGTCTTTTGGGTTACAGACCCTGAAATTTTCCTCTAAAGCGCTGGTAATCGTCACAATCCGAGACCAGACTTCACATTTTGAGAGTAGTGAAGAACCACAAATGTTACATGTTTCCGAAGGAAAAGTGGAAAATTAGAAATGTGTTTACAAAACGGATGAAGAATAGAGGTGATGTTAGGTTACTGCAGGTACAGTCTCCAGCAAAGAGCAAACAAGTGTTTCTGTGCGAACACAATGAATGTTTCATCCTGTGGCCCTTTGACACCAGTAAACAGAATTAATTGTTGTTTTGTAAGGACATGCTCAGGTACGACAGTAGCCACAACCATTTCTTTCTGCCCTCAAGAGGCTGTGTGTCCCCAGAGACATCCTCACTAACAGAAAAGCCCCTAACGGGAATCGAACCCTGACCGTCAAGTCCGTAGTTAATGATTTTACCAATTGTAACTCAGGAGTGTGAGAGGTTTTCTTTTCTGAAGGCATTTGCCCTCCATGTGTGGGTCTAGACCCCATCCATGATCTCCTGACATAAAAATAATATCCCTTATCTTAATTCGGTACTAATAGACTTATTTGTTTGTTTATTTAACGAGTCAGTCAATAGTTCAGTGTAAAGCCTATCGTGTCATAGGCTATTACCCTATTGCAGTGCGGATTGGTAAGCCACTAACTAACAAGCCTGCAATTATCTTGCAAGGCGTTAGTTAGCCTTAAAGCAGTACACATGTCCTCCGATCAAGCCATGTTGAAAGTCGCGGCCGGCAGTGGGGGTGGGAGAGGGTGTCATATCCATGACAATCCAGACGTCATAACCACGCAGACTGTGCAGCTCAGATTAGAATCACAATAAGCTCATTCTTATCCCTTCAGAAGTCGTTTTCTGGATCTGAGCTGATTTCATAGTCAATTTCAGTGGCCCGTGCGTTAAATCTACTTTTCTTGTTTGGTCACGTCATTTCTTATCCGTTTTATCAGATTTAGTGAAGTTGATGAGAGTCTGATATTAAACGTGGCACGACGGATGTGTTCATAAAGTCGGCATCCTTGAATATTTCAAAGTGCCTTCACGGTAAAGTTGGATGTTACAAATAACTTAAATGGTCTTTAAAAAAGAAAAACAGATGATTTACTACGAGGACCTGAATGTTTCCCGACAAGCTAATAGTCGCTCAGTTGGTCCACCCCACTACGAACACTAACGAAGTCTTCAGCATTGAAATCATGGGTTCGATTCCCACCTTTGAATGGGTGTGTATCCACCTGTGTGGGTAGAAACCTTATGATGGGTTAAAGCATTGGTACCGCAGGTTAGTCTACATTTAGAAAGTCGGGGGACAGCACAAGGTAAGTTATAGGCTAATTTGATTTTATTATCACCACGACTGATAAGCGGTGAGTTTCAAAACCTGGCTACTGGTAATATTGGAAACCAGCTTCTGAAAAAAAAAACTCACAAAATTCAATATAATTGAGAAGTGAAAGTTCTTTCTGCATCCATCCGTATAAATTTTACGGTAATGTTAATGACAATTTTCCATTCTGCCAATCACTGAAGATGCATAACCGGTGAAGGTAATTTCTAATAGTCTGAATGATTTCATAATTGGAATTGAAATTGGGTGACCAAAAACGTGCTGAGGGGGTCCTGAAGTCGGGACGTAACAAAGGAATTTCTGTGGAGGTATTTCAGTGATCCTACCACACGTAAGTCAAATGGATTCGACGCAGAAGGACTAGCGAACACAAAAATGGAATGTGAAATCCGTCTCAGGCAGTAAAAGTGATGATTTCATAGAATCTCATGATTTTTAATTATACGCGATTTTTACGTCATCTGTGAAGAGACAGGCAATTGTCAAGCTTTACCAATTATCTTGGCTGTCCGCGGAAATGTTTCTACATCAATTAAGCTCTTATTTGACCTGAGAAGTAAAAATTTGACTGGGTCTTTTTCTCAGTGACAAAGCATTTCAAATAACCGGGCGTTTTAATGACTTTACATGGCCAACATGTTTGTGCGATATTTTAGTATAATTATTTGAACGGTGTAAATTTGGGCATTCAAAACAAACTCTTTTCACAGTAGAACACAAAAGTTTCACGTGAAAACCTCGTTCAAGTCACGTTTTATTCAGTAAAACTCATTAAGACATTTTGCTGCGTGTTAAATAGGACCAAGTACCGTGAACCGGAATCCAGACACCGAAGTGTTTAACGTCGTTCTCCGCAACATAATTAGGCCTACGCGAAAACAAAAACACGGCAAGTTTAAAACTGTCTACCTCTTTACACGAAATTCGGAGCATAATATCAATAAATCAATCAATCAATCATCACCTTAAACAATAGGCCTGATTTTTTAATAGGCTTATAGCTGTTGAAATTCCATAGATATATTTAGTTAGGCCTTAGGCCTGTACATCCTACGTGCTTTATATGATAATTGAAAATGGTAAACGATTTAAATCATTATTAGACTATTTAAAAGAAACAGTCTGGGGCCTACACGTGAGTTTACAAACCGACACAGGCCTACATAAATTAGGCTGACGCCATCAAGTATTGGGGTTCTACCAAAATTGTACACGCCCAAAAATGACAAATATATAAATAATTAAGACAGAGTAATCAGTTGTAAAATAACTTTGTAATATTTTAAGTTGTGGTGTTAAATACAATTTAGGGGCAGGAATAAATAAGACGTGGACCGCGGACCACCGGTCGATGAACACATGCTTAAAAAATGTGTATATATATACGTAGCCTAATCTGCAAATAAAAAAATATTTTAGCGCCTCAATCAACTGACGCAAGAAAGTTTACAATCAGCGCTAATTACCACCGACGTTCACAGTAAGGGAGCTTAAATTTAAGCAAACATTTAAGTCTGCCGTCTTATTTTATTGAACCAACCGGAAGATGGCTGCTTCCTCCAACATGTCCGGAGCCTGAACACAGCTGATTTCCCCCTCAAACCCATAAAATATCTCCCTTTTTCAAATCGCGAAACCCCCAAAATTGGCTTTTGTTTGTTACCAAATATAGACATACCTGAAACGAAACTCCATTGTGGCCGCAGTCATGGCGATGCTCTGACGTCTGGCGCCCAGCGACGTCGTGGCGCTCCCGTCGCCTCCCGTCAACAATGGCTTCCCCCAGAGAGCCAATAAGTCTGCTCGGAACCGCACTGAGCCGCTGCTAATTATCTTGGCACCGCCCAGTCACCAGGGAGGGAAGCGGCTTCAGTCAGACGGCACGTGCGGTGAAGTCGCGCCTCGTCGGCGAAACTGCACTGGAGCTTTAAATTGATCTGGCGTCTTAACTTATTTCAGAAAATATCACTGACGTCTTCGGCTGATCACGAAACTAAGTTAACGCTATAATAAGATCCCGGATATTCATTACGTACGTGAAGATGAACGGCAGGCATCAGGCACGTCTCAGGGGCCCGCAAAGTTCTGCACAGAATGCACAAACCGACGTTTCGGAAGACAGTTTTCGTGTCCCATTCAACATTTAATGACACTGCAAATTTTATCGTTCATAAGCACTAATCATAGCCACGGTGGTCTAGCGGTTAGAACGCTGGCCTTGTAATCCTGGGGTCTCGGGTTCGATTCCCGGCGGTGCCCGAATTTATAACTTGTGTTGGGCAAGGCCGTGGTCTAGGCAACACGGGGTTTTCCTCCGTGGCATCCCAACAATTACTCCATTCACACACAGAAGAAGGCAATGGCAAACCACTTCTGGATCATCTGCCAAGAACGTATATGAACAGGTCCCAGTCCGAGAAAAGGATGGAAGGATCCTGTTCATATGGACCTGTCGTCAGACAGAACACTAAATAAATAAAGCACTAATCAGTCGATCGCGAATGGCAATTAGCACATCAGGCGTCAGGTGTTTCGGAGGATAATATTAAAAACCATGTCAACAGAGTGTAGCTTGATGCCTGGATTCATGTTGCTTATGATAAAAACCAGGGCGGGGCTGTTGTCGACACGGTAATGAACCTTCGGGTTCCATAAATAACAAAGAATTTTTTGTCTAGCTCAGTGACTATCAGCTTCTCGAGGATTTTATTGGACGCAGTTCGGTAATTATAGGCACTTCAATGTTTCAAGTTTTAAACGAGTCGCTTATCAAATGATTTCAACAGAGGCAAACGGAAATATCAAAATGAAAGGCTAACAAAATTTTTGGGTTGCATTACAAGGCGTTCTTCACGTCACGAAGGTAACGTAATCCGAGGTCATTGATGCTGAGGTAATTAATGATTTTTCAATGATGCGTTCAAAAATTATATCTGATCCTATTGTTAACCATAAACCCCCGGTCATGCAAGTTGCCTATCCCGGAGGAAAACAAAATAAACAGACAGACAGATCGACGGCCTCATAACACGTTCCTCTCTCAGACCAGAGAATGTACACGTAAGTACGTCACTTGTATAATCGAGGAGACTTCGATAAAACTAAGATTCAACCCTGAAAATGGAGCCAGTATCCTCCGAGACGCTGACGTACACCTAAATTATTTAAACGGTACAACAACCACCGTCAAGACGTCACATCCTAACAATATTAAAAAGAATCTTGGTAAGATTGTTTGTGAGGTTAGGGGAGGTGGATCTTACTGGCTTGGGGATTCTGTCCGGTGGTGAGCTAAGATGAATCTTCGGGATCTGCTAATACAATTTCTGTTTTATTTTATGATTTATCTCGTGGTTAGCAAACACGGCCAACTCCAATTCCTCCTTCCCAATCTACACGTCTGTCACCGACCTCTGGGGGAAGGGGGATCCCCCTCTATCATAAGCCGTAGTAGCAGTTTTGAACGCTGAGCTATCTCCCCCACCACCAACACCCTTCATCGACCGTGGGTACGTACACGATACCCCGCCCTGGTGGGATTTACCTCCTCTCCCCTCCCGCAAGAGATATAACATCAAGTCGCCCTAACAGGAGAACCAACCAAACCATCCAACCGAGCAAGCAACTGGGTCCACCACCATTGCCACCACTGCGTCGTGCACCCTCGCACGGCTGAGTGAAGCGGTCATTCAAATATCACCACCGCCAAGACAGGACGCCGGCGACTCAAGGCATAAATATTTACATGCGTGTGGTCTGGAGCGACGGCGGGCGTCCATCAACATACTTGACTGCCTTCTGTGCTCCGGCCCTCCTCCTTGCTGGCGACAGAGGAGAATCCGGGCACCAGTAAACAAGACAGCGCGTGGTTACTAGAGCGTCTCATCTTCCGGGTCAGTGCTGGAAAGGCGAGACTTGGTGCGGTGTTGGAGCAGATCGACGATTCGGCGTTCGTCTCGTTTACGATTTTGTCCCCCCACGAGTACGATTTGAGGAAGGCCTATGTGTCGCTCAGTTGACTGCAAAGTCCTGGACTGATCGGCGGGTCAGCGGGCTAGAAAGTGCGGGAAAGTCTCGGTTCTGTGCGCGGGGATATTTATCCAGTGCTAATTCCCGCGAAAGTTGGCGACAGTGATATTTTTTTATTTTACTAAGATAGTGTTTTGCGCCGTCGTTTGTTTCTTTGTTTACTTGTTTTGGATTAACGTTTAATATCAAGAGTCGAGCCCTTCCGCCTTCTACTTCGTACTGTGTAGGACGTACACAGTTGCAATTTGAAGACAGGCAACGAGACTGAAATTCTTCCTAAAGGGTAAGTGTAGGTGTAGATATTATTCAAACTCTTTACATCAGAATCTACAACTCAGAAAGCTTTAAGAAATTGTTCACGTAGTCTCACTCAGTTCATGTCGGATTATTTTGGATGTGTTCTAAATTCTTATCAAAGAAATTGGGCCTATTTATTTTACCCCCCACCTTTGTACAGTTCTGTACAAAATTTGACTTCGCATTACCGTTTACCACCTGACACGAGCCCAAACAGCACGAAATATATAAACTCTGAAGAATTTTATTAGGTAGGAAAATACAATTAATGTATTCGTATCACCCAAAATATCTGAATTAATGTCACTTCCTCGTCAAATCATTACGACTTTTCGTGTTTCTATAACAAAACCAGAGCTAACACCACTAATAATAAAAATAATGATTTATAATTTGTAAATATTGAGCTAACCTTGTTATATGAGCCGATTTAATGGATCCAGTTCCACAGCGTGAACGTAAACTCATAGGGCCTTTTGAATACAGGCCCTTCGCTCCTTACGATTCTTTCCATTCACGCAAGGGAAAGGCATTTCCCGCTTTGCCACTGTCCGGGCGTCCACGACCAGCGCCGCGACACGCCGTGGTGCCAAGCGACCGGTGGATGACACCGTCAAACACCGATGTTCGAAAATGCATGCTGGAGCCTATCTCCACTCCCCAATACGTCCTCATGTCGTGCTGCAAACAGGCTCGGTGCCTGTGAAATTTATTTTACAAAGCAGAAACTGTGAACACAAAGTGACACGAACTTCAGATGAACCAAGAGATTGATTGATTGATTCAGAGGCTGCTGAATGACAATCTAATGAGTCTAAAGAATAATCACGAATCGAAGATCCGTTTCATTTGAATGTATTTGTTATTTTATTCATCTGCTCATTAACAAACGATACGTTTCTATGACGACAACAAAGAATGCCTGTTTTATGGCTTATTATCCACATGTGCCCGAACAAGCGAGGTCAGTTTGGTTCCCCTATTTACTTTCTAAAACAGAATCATCATTTAAATTGCCGTTTCAATCGAAAACAAAGGAGACGTGAAATGCGAAAGGACGCAGTTGTACAGAAGCGGGGGTCTCATTATTAATTGGTACAATGTGAAATAATTAGCTCAGTGCAGCGGGACACTTTGTTAACGCAAACTCAGTGCGTTTTAAGAATAGCGCTCTTTTGTGTGCCTTTGAAATTACGTGCGTTACAAGCGGTCGCTCACATTTGTCCACCGAAAAAACCCAACTCGTCTGCTTGACAGAATATAAGGCCTATTTCTTTTTTCTTTTTTTTTTTCGAATTATCAATGGTCTATTGTATATGATAACGGATGGCCTAATTTATTATTAAATGAAAGCCTACCTCGCATTGCTACAGCCTAATACCCCAATTCCGATAGCGGCCTATAAACATGTGTGGTCTTAACGTTCGTATTCTTGGCCGATTAATAATTTACAGTTTTTGAGTTACAAAGCCTAATACTTTCATTACTAATGAGGGTCATATACTAAGGTATTCGGTTGGGTTCAGTCCCCACCTAGCTTATAGACTACTAATTCAACTAAAATATAGGCCCTAAATATGTCCTCCTGTGGGTGTATCGGAAAATCTTAAGACGTTTGATTGTACGTGGGGATGGCTAAGAGATTTTAAGCTCTCGTGGACATTGAAACGTCGATGTTGGTCTTCAGGACTTGCAGATGGACTCGAAGAAACGCATTACTTCCATCTTCAGGGTTGAAAGAGGCAGTATGTTCCTTCAAAACGTATGTATCTACAATTTAAAAACCGACCTCAACAGATAAGGTTATGAAGAGTTTAATGTTACATGTGGGTAATAAGGCTAGGTGTACCCTTCGGAACAATGAAAAATTGTAAAATTATAGGCCTAATTATTTATTTACTTTAATTCCGTGACTTAAAATCTGATAGCTTACGCTTAGGCTACTCTGCACAAAGCTAAAACTCTGGACTCCGTTTGATTAGTGTAGGCTTTTATAGGCTGTAAAGTACTCGTTAGATTGAAATTTAGGCCAAAACATCTTCTGAGCGTAGATAAGGTCATGACCTACGAATATTCCATGTTGGATGCTCAAACTGAGACTACGAATGAGACGAAAAAGTGTACAGTCTTCTTCTGAGAAGCCTATTATGAAATATTTATTTGACTAAACAGTCGTTCAGTCACTGCTGAAGCTAACGAGCAAATTCCGGCGAATAGACCAATTTTGATAGCCTATAGCCTATTTTCAATGAAAACTACGATCCGTCATGACAGCGATCGGTAAAATGTTCATTCTTGCATTCTTTACATTCTGAAGTCAAAGACATATTAAGTCTGGAGTAATTCGATATTTCATAACAGATTTAACACAGGCCTGTAGAATGTTACTTAATGTTACAAATAGGTTAGGCCCATTTCTTTAGATGTCGCATAAAAATAATCAAAAACAAATATAAAAATGAAATATATACAAAAATAAAATCCAATTTATATTTCTTAATATTATACAATATTTAAAAATAAAATTCTCTTTAATTTTCACAACGCTATAATTATTCCTGCGGTTAAATCTTCAAATGCGTATTTTAAGGCCTGATCTTACACTTATTATTATTATTATTATTATTATTATTATTATTAGGATTATGGTGACTAAGAATGGGTGTGGGTTTATTCAGTTTCTCGAGGCAAATGCATGCTACATTGAATTAGACCGCTCTCAAATTTATTGTTCGTCATTCATACAAACACCCGACTCCACGCAAGCTAAGAAGTTGAAAAACTGCGTTTAATAAACAAAAACTTCTTCAATCAGTGTCGCACGAAGTGGAAGATTACGTTCATTAAAGGG